GAAACTTGGGTAATTTTTTTTTTAAAAAAGCACTAGGTTGTATTTTACTATACTTAGTGCGTATTATGTTATTATATTTTATCACTGACGAGGATGATCAGAAAACCGGTCCGCATAGTGGTTGCATGTAGGTTAATTGCTAATTTAAGATGTTCAAAATGCTGTAAAGAAGTTAAAAGTAGTAATTCGAGCTTAGATGCCTAACGGGATCAAGCGCTCTCTTCCGATTCTGGTTTGTTGATTCTAAATCAGACCGACTGACCGATTAGCAATGACCACATCGAATATTTTGAGTGGTAAACGGATTATGGATTAGAATCCCCTTGCTGGTAATTTTCATTTTCATATAACGCAAACGCGAGTGATTTCCATTAAAAAATCTTCCGAGTAGACTGTTCCAATGTTTGATCGAGGAGTTCCTTTGTCGTCTGTGTTGGGTTCAAAATTACAAAGCTAGTGTGTTAAACATTGATAAACGTTTATTCAAAAATGGCTCGGCCGTTTAATACCGGTTATTAGACAAGTGAAATGATGATTCCCCAAATTTTGAAAAAGTGTTTTTTTTTTCTTTTGAATATTAATATTGCTTCACATATTGATGTAGCAACTCTTGAATAGTATGCTTTTATTCAATTCTTCTTTTGTGTTTACCCCGTATTTTTATCTTTCGTATTCCGTATTTTGTCACCGTATTTTTGTTTTGCTCCGTATTTTGCTATTTCGATTCTCTTATAATCATAGAACCGTTGGTAGGGTTCTGAAATTTGGACATAGACTACAAGAAACAAATTTAGCCTACAATCCTGAAAATCGTCAAACAATATTAATTAGTTAAAAATATTAATTAAAATATAAATTAATAAGCTAAAAATATTAATTAATTAGTTAAAAATATTAATTAATATTCGGTGTTTGAAAAATGATTTTTTCGCATTGGGTAAACATTAGCCATTTTTATATATAAAACTGCTGACGATTCTGTTTAAGATTTTACTCCACGTTCTTTAATCTTTAAGAATTTTTAACAAGCTCAATAGAAACGGGAATCAGTGGTACATCACCAAATTGGTATTTCTACAAGTTTTTTTTCTAGAACACGTGTTTGTTTTATTTATAGTTGTGTTTTTGAAACGTGTTTGAATGGAGCTAAATAATCTTAAATCAAAGGTAATTGAAATAAAGAAAAATAAGTTATGCACTAAACAGAAAAATCAAAAGAAAAAAGATACTAATCAATTAAGGGGGACTGTAGAAAAATTGCAGCATATTTTTAACTCCAATAAAGCTTGATTAGTTTTGGTTATTTGTACTTCTAGTGTTATGATAATTGGTGCGATTTTTAATTGGTTGGAAATGTACTAACATAGTACTATAATTAGTTTTTCATGGTCCATCAAAGGGTGAAGTACCATTGATTGATTGGGGCAATCATTTGGTGGCCTCGATCAACAGCATCATGCAGAAGGATACTGATTACAGTCAATCTTTATTTTTATGAAACGGATTTCTAAAAATGTGTTATTTTTAATCTAATAACGTAAAGCCATCGGCGAGGGCAACAAAATTAAAGTAATGGAAACATTTTATCGTTATTAGTAGTGTCAATATATAGGATTTAAAAAAAGTTTTAAATTGGTCAAATATTTCGAGAAATATACATCGGGTCAAAAAAGAGCAAAATTGCGCATTCAATATTTTTTCAACAACTATCCAATCATATCAAACTTGAATAACCACAATTTGACTCATAGGTTGATGTATGTATCTACAGATGGTGCTATAATGGAGAAAATTAAAATAGGTTGCAAACTGTTTAAGAAAAAATAGCTATGCTTGAAAACATTGTGGATTTCAAGACCAATCAGATTTTTAAAAAAATTATCAAGAATAAAAATGTTTTAGCATTTTATGAAAAAGAAATTAAAAGAAACCGTTAGAAATAAACTTAAACACGTCTATTTTTATGTTTTATTTGATCGGTCTCGAGATTTGACATTTTAAACAGTTTGAATCCTAATTTAATTTTCTTAGTTACAGCGCCATCTAGGAAGTAAAATGCATCAACCTAGAAGTCAAGTAGGATTACTTTAGTCTGAAGAATTCGAATCTACAATAAAAAATAGGTGTTCATACAAAACATTTGAAAATTACCCCATATTCTGTCTCATATTATTAATTTTTCGAAATTAATTTATTGAATATATTTTTCACAATAATTCTAAAAATATATAATAACAGTGTTGTCTAATTAACACCCTATACAATAATTACCTACAATAATAAAGTAATAATTCATCTGTTTTTATACTTTACTTTAAAACAAAGATAGGCATTTTATGGCTGACTCATTTATTCTAAAATTTTCTTTATACTCAATCGATAACTTTCTCATAATATAAAAATTATTGAAATGACTGTGGAATATTTTTTGACGTCGTCTCTCAAACTAATACCTATTTCATCGTTTTCTGGCTTTTTTTTTCTCACTCCGAATTCATAAATCTATTTCATTCTTTATACAGGGGAAGGAATGGAATTCGCATGAATTATTGACATAAATATTTCACCTAAACTATTTATAATGCCAGGATGGTTGGATAACTGTGTATGATCAATTTCACTCAGGAAGCTATAAATGTTAATAGCAAAGATTTATGTAAAACTATTATCTATAAACTATCGTAAATAAAAACAAGGACGATAAATAATAATAAGTTTTACTTCTCTTACAAAAGTTATAAAAGTGAAGAAAAACTGTCAGACCTTTAGTGGTGAAATTTCATAAAATGATTTTTTTAAATAGTATTTTGGGCAATTATCTAACAAAATTGAGTTAATTCGAAATTCTAAACTAGAGTGTTATTTTGAAATTCAGTATTTCTTTTTAAAAGCAATGGAATAAACTAATGATGGTGGAATTTATCACATAGAGAAAATTCCAATTTCTTGATTATTTTTGAATTTTTTCTTTAAATTGCCGTCGTTGAACAGCCGACCCAATTTTTGGGTTTACGATTACTAATGTTCAACTACGTAGTCTCGTAATATTGAGCCCAATCCAGAAGACAAGGGAACTCCTGAATCAAGTATTGGGAGAAATTTTGCCTTCGTGGAGGACTTTTTGATGGAACTCACCCGCATTTGCGTTGCATGGAGAGGAAGACCACGAGAACCTCCCACGGTTAGTTCGATTGCAATGGAACTCTAACCTATGATCCGTCTACCACTGAGGATATTTTACTTCAGCACTGTGGTCGGTTCAAACCGGATGCGGAATTCGCATCGACCAACCATCGCTGGGATTCGAACCCGGTTCACCTCATTGGAAGGCGAACGCTCTACCCCCTGAGCCTTCATGGCTCTTTCTGATTTTATTGTAAGAAAAATAATAAATTTTTTGATCTTTAGATTTTAGCATGCACAGAAAAGATTATGAACTAGGCTATATTAGGTAATTATTAACTGGACCAAAGGTTGTATTTTACTGTTCCTCGTACGCAATATTTTATATAATTTTATCATGAATTCTCCAAAATTTATTAAAAGACTCCAAACTTTATCAAAATCTCCAAAATTTAAAAGTAGCAATTCGAATCGCGGTGACTCGGGTGATAAAGCACTGGCCTTGTAATGAGTGACCCAGGTTTGAAACTTATCTATGGCTGGTTGATAGAAATTCTCCCCGTGCCTCGTACAACGCAGACATAATATATCCCCAATGCTAAACGAATCGTGCTAACTTTAGGAAGTTTTCTTGTTTGTTTGATTTTCTTTTTGTTCAACGCAAATGTGCGTTAGTTATATCAAAAAGTTCTCTACAAAGGCTAGTTCGTCCCAATGCTTGATCCAAAAGTCACTTGACTTCAAAATTGCAAAGTTACAGAATTGAACACAGATAGCCATGAACCCAAAAATTTTTTGGTTGTTCAACGCCAGTTATAAAATAAAACTAAAATGGTGATTCAATTATTTTGAATCTCCTAGTAGTAACGTATCTTTTAATCTTATATAAATGTTTCAATAGTTGAAAGTGGGAATTGAAAGACTTAAATATAATACTACTTTAGAGAATAAAAACACAAGTCTAAATACCAAAATATGCATGTCTAAATACCAAAATCTATATCAAATTTCCTTTTAAGAAATTTTTTACTGTTATGCCACTGAAAAAGTAAGTATGGTCAAAAATACCTGAATATGGCAAAATTTACCGTGTTTTTGACTTTTTGAGAACACCAAAAAACTCGAAAATTTTTAGCGCAGCGTTTTGGTAAAGAATTTGGTAAAATTAAAAATAAAATATAGTTTTAAAATTTGGGATAAAGTTTGGTTAATGTAGTAAGATTTGGTAATTTTGCCATGATACCTCAGAGCATGGTATGAAAATCCTTTATGTGGTTAAATTTACTTTTCAATTTCATATTTTTTACTAAACATTTTGGTACTATAATTTCGTTCTATGAGGTTTGGTGCTATAATTGGTTGAACTATAATTTTGAAAACCAGAATTTCCAGCTAACCGTTACCATATGAACGGGAAAATAACCAAATGAATGGTTTAAATACCGTATATTTCGGTTTGTCGAAAATTATGGTTGTTTTAAATTTGAATTATTATATTCTACATTATCTAAGCAAGAATAAACACAATCTGATTTAGAGTCATTAGAAAAACAGATTTAAAATAACAATAATTTAACATTTTTATGCCTTTTAACTAACAATCTGCCATTGCTTTCAGAAAGAAAACCATGCACGACATCCACCAAACAACACTTCACCTGAGGCCCTCCCCATCAGCGCCATTCGACATGCTAGACATAGCATACGACACTCTTGAAAATTCGAACATGTCTTTCACCGTGAACGACAGTGTCGTCTGCACCAATGAGTACTGCGTGTCGGACGAGGAATACATAGCCATGATCGAGGATTACATCTATCCATCCTCAGCAGAATGGGTACTCATCATCCTACATGTGATTGTGTTCGTTGTTGGACTCGTTGGCAATGCCCTTGTTTGTGTGTCTGTCTATAGGAACCATACCATGAGGACTGTCACCAATTATTTCATCGTGAATCTAGCCTTGGCGGATTTTTTGGTGATTTTAGTTTGTCTTCCGCCTACTGTACTTTGGGATGTAACGGAGACGTGGTTCTTTGGAAGAATGACCTGCAAGCTTGTCTTGTATTTACAGGTATGGGTTTAAGGATTTCTGAAAACTTCAGTGTTATGTTCGATCAGAAGTTATAGCAATACATATTTATACTTTTGGAAATAAATCAGTTATTTGAAAATTAATAGGTTAAAATTATTAGAATTAAACGCATTAATTTGAATCATTATTTTAGGATTTGATATCAGCAAGATGGTAATTTTGGTATAATTGGCATATACGGAGAAAACGTAAGTTCTGGTAAAATTACCGTATAGTTTGATAATGTCATTTCTGGTAATAAAAAAACAGCAAATCTGGGTAATAAAAAAGCAGTATTCAAACCTTACCATGAGGACTGTCACCAATTATTTCATCGTAAATCTAGCTTTGGCGGACTTTTTGGTGATTTCAGTTTGTTTTCCACGTACTGTACTTTGGAATGTAATGGAGACGTGGTTCTTTGGGAGAATGACCTTCAAGCTTGCCTTGTATTTACAGGTATGGGCTTAAGGGTTTCTGAAAACTTATACTCGATCAGCAGTTATACCAATACATATTTATACTTTTGGAAATAAATCAGTTACTTGAAAATTAATAGGTTAAATTTATTAGAATTAACGGCATTAATTTGGATCATTATTTTAGGATTTGTTATCAGCAAGATGGTAATTTTGGTTATAATTGGCATATACGCAGAAAACAAGTTCTAGTAAAATTACCGTATTGTTTGATAATGTCATTTCGGGTAAAAAAAAAAACCCGCAAATCTGGGTAATAAAAAAGCGGTATTCAAACCATTCATTTGCTACTTTTTCCGCTCATATGGTAGTGGTTTACCGAAAATTCTGATTTTCAAAATTATAGTTCATATTACGACGTATTTATTAAAAATTACGAAACTAAAAGGTAAGTTTAACCGAATAAATAGCTTTCATACATGCTCAACGGTATCATGATAAAATTATGAAATGTTACCAAACTTTATCACATATTATGAGACCATATATTTTTGAAAAAATTTGCGTAAGTGCCTCAGTAAAAATTACCGAACTTTGTTGTGCTCTTATAGAGCCAAAAACATGGTAAATTTTACCATTTTCTGGTATTTTCGACTATATTTCCTTTCTCAGTGTAATATTTTAAATATTAATGGGGGAAAAGATCATTTTTTATTCCTGACTAATAATAAACAAATGCAATTTTTTTAAAAATATGCCAATTTTTACATGGTTAAAATAACTATAGTATGAAAGCTTTCCTTTAAAAAAATTTAAATTAAACTTTATTCAAAAAGTACTCTAAATAATATTTTTCTTCTCAAATAATAGATTTAAGCGAGAAGAATTCTCGAAGCCATCAAATTCACAGAAGTATGTCAATTTTTACGGAAGACCACTGGTTTAATGTGTGCCAAGAACTTTAATTAAATCAGACGTACAAACTTTACAATAAAGAAACCCATCGACATTTTTAGGGCGGAAATTAGATTTTTAATTTAAACTACTTCAGATTTGGAAGTTTCCAAACAGAGTACGGTTCTCTCAAATTTACAATTAAGTCAAGAAAAAAAATATCTTCTTGTAAATGCTTCTTAAGTTTGAAAACATTATATTATTTGTAACAATGTTTATTATTATTATGTTTCTTATAATATACTTACGATGTTTAATTTTTGCCAAAAGGGGACTCGAATAATATCTTTGCTTTTTTAATTTTACAGAAGATGAAACAAGGAACCCTGCTTATATATATATATATATATATATATATATATATACTTACT